CATTTCAGAGAGACTGATTTGGAATGCAAGTGGGAAGAGGCTTGTGAGATTGGAAATGGCCAAAAAAAAGAAGAAGAAGAATCTTGTCCCTTCTTGCCTCAAAGCAGACAGCAGCAAGTAGTTCCTTCTCACTCTGCTTTTTGGCTGATTTTTTTTTTCATTATTTTGATTTTGGTATGACGTCTATACATGTTTAAGATATACACCAGCTAAGTAAACACACAGCCTCACTCCTAAGGGAAGTTTCCATATAGGTCACTGCACTTTTTAAACCATATAAATATCAGATTAACTTGGGATTTGAGAAGACCTAAAATTAGGATCTTATCCAAGAACCACATAGTTCAGTTGTTTTTTTTCTAAATTTGCAAGGCAAAAATGTAGAGCCAAAATGAAAAACTATGTAGATGCCTCAAAAAAATTTCTTTTTTGCAAATGAGTTTAGCAAATTTAAATGAAGTCATTTATGTTACTGTATGCATTTGTACTTAATGTATGCGAATCAATCAATAATCAGTCAATGAGCTAATCAGTTAATAAATGATCATTAGGTGCTGAGTATCTTCCATGTATGGACCCTTACTTGTTACCCTGAAATTAAGTAGAACAAGCCAAGATGGTCCAGTTATTGGCCATTTAGTTGGAAGATAAAACTGACACACATTTGGCAATATTTTATAGAGGCAAAACGTGGTCTGAGCCTTGAAAATAGTAAAATTTGAGAGAAGAAAGTCCACTGGTAAGGAACGGAAACAATTGGATTTAATCATAAGCGAGGGATAATATATCTCAGGAACAATAAGGAAATCCAGCAATGAATATTTTTGGTCCGTGATAAGAAGTAATTGGATGGGCAGGAAAAAAAACTAGTTGTGGAGACTTTTTAGCCTTAGGTATAGACGTTTGTGTTGATGTGGGAGACACCAGAGACTTCCCTTATTTTGCTGGTTGTAAGAGTGATGTGAGAGATGGTGGACTAGAGAATAAGTTAGAAGCAGGACACAAGCTCCCAGGCGAGTGGAGATCTGGCTGAAAGGGGGCAATGGTGCGTCAGCACCGGCTGTCATAAGAGAGGGAACGCGCCTGAGATATCCCCCCGGGGAAGGTTTCATACAGCTCGATGACTTGGCTGCTTGATGATTTCACAGAAATCTCTCTTTAAGAAAAATAAAATGCAGCCTTTAGTCATGATTTTGACCTTCCAGCCCTTCTGTTCCTTTCTTTCTCAATAGATGACCCTTTCTTCTGCTTTTCATATCTTCCCTGCCCAGAGAAGTCTTCATAAATATTTGCCCCAAAAATGAATCAAGGAACTAGCTCAAATATTCCCATCAAACACATCATAGCACAATGCAAGACGTCATCTTGCTTTGCACCCTTTGCTTTATTTCTCCACCGTGGATCCTCTCCCTCCATCCTTATTAAATCTACTTGTTCTTTCAACCTCATCAAAAATGCCACTTTGCTTTGATTCTTGATTCATTCCAGCTAAAGGTATTTGTGTCCCGCTCTTGCTGAGTAACCACCAGTCATATTTGCACATTAGCCACTTAATTGTGGCCTCTTGGAGGACAGAGCATGGCTTACACGCCTTTCTGTTTGTTCCCTGTGTGGTTTAGTGCAGTGTTCTGCAGAGAGTAGGTGATGTATAATCTGCTGTTAGGTGACAGTGAATCATTTGTGTCCTGGTGTGGGCACACAACATTCTCATCAGGGATGTTACTACAGTCTCCTAACTAATCTTCCTGCCTCCCCTTCATCTTTCACATTGCTGCCAAGGTTGTTTTTGCACATTTTGGTTGAGATTGGTGTTCCACTGCCTCAGACTGAAACCTCTACCGTTGCTGTTCAGGGCCCTTTGTCACCAGGTCCCAGCCTCCGCCCATCCTGGGCCTTACGCTGCGCTGTCCTGTGTGGGCCAGTCATGCTGGCTCGTGGGCCCAAGTTGGCTAACACCAGGTCTTTGTTTAATGTTCTTCCTTAGCCTGGAATGTACTTCTTACCACTGCTGGTGACTCCTCTTGTTTTCCTTCAGGTCCCAGGACAAGCTCTCCTGGGTGGTTGTTATCTCAAGTAACTCCAAGCTGCTTCTTCACTATGATGCCAAAAATGAGATACATTTCATCTCCTCGCCACTGACAAAAACATAGAAAATGGTTTTCTAAAGCCCTGGGAACCCAGACCCTGGGAGTCCATGCACATGTCAAAGTTCACCGTTTAATAGTGGCAACACTCTCTATAAATTCAGACTAATTCCTTCTTTGCCTGCAATTTCGGGCTAATGCAGCACAACAAAGTCAGCACTAGGAGAGTGTCCAGCACAGGGCAGGCACTCCCAAGACTCTCCCCTGTGCAGACGCACCGTGCTTCCCTTGAGAACATCTCTCATGGCGGAGACAAATTCTCTTCACTCTCCATCCCCACAGCAGGAGAACCATTGTGTTGTGTTTAAAACACACAAATCAACCAACCCTCTACCAAAGATCTGCTTCCCATGGAATTCTGGGTGATGGCTTTCGCCTCCCATTGACACTCATCGCTACCCTGTGCGCAGATGACAGTGGGACTGTATGAAATGCCAGTATTTTGAAGTGCTCCTGCGCTTACAATACACGAAAAAGGAAATACTGTCAGAATGAAAGGACCATGGATCCCTGAGAAACTGGAACATCAAGTAACATTTATTTGTGGAGGTATGCACTTTCTAATCTTGAATCTATTTCAGTTTGTTCCGCTAGAGAATTTTGCAAAATACCACCTGAATTAAGCCCGTGATTTAGCAACCTTGAAAAAGTCAGAAACTCAGTTTTTTTTGTGACCGTATTCTGGCTTCTTCTATTAAAGGTCAAAACTTATAGAGAAGATGCCGAGGAAGAGGTATTTATTTGTCAAAGGAAAAAGCTCTGCAGATATTTTTGCATGTTGGCGCCAGTGGGGCTTTTGACCTCCTGTCCTGTCTCCTGTGCATTGGTAGACACTTCTTGTTTCACCAGCACTTGTTCGTTGGCCTTTGAATACTTATTCATCCATTCAACAATTATTTGTGCAGGCTCGGTGCTGGGATTTAGCAGCAAGAGGAGAAAGACAATCTTCAAATACTGGTATCAATATAAGCTAGTGAGGGAAGACCTGGCATTATCAAATACGCCTACAAATTAATGAGAACTCTATCATGAGCTCTACATGAGAGAACCTGGTGATATGAGAGTGTCTCTAAGGGGATTTGACCCAGGCGAGAAGGTCAGGGAAGGCCTCCCTGAGGAAGTGACAAGTGCAGTGATATATGAATGATGAGTAAGAGCTAAAGCAGCATTCTGTACTCAGGGACTATGACTTGCAAAGGCGCCGTGAAACCAGTCGGCTTGGTACCTGCAAGGGGTTGGAAGCAGGCCAGCGTGGCTAGCAGAGGGAGCTGGGGACAAGGTTGGGATGGAAGGAGGGGTCAAGCCGGGTAGGAGTTAGACCCTGTTAGGGATACTGCATTCATCCTAATTGTTTGGGAAACCTGACCAGGCTTTATAAGCAACAAGAGACAAGAGCAGCTTTAAGTCTTGAAAGGATCCCTAGAGCTGAAAAGCAGAGGGCACATGGCAGGGGGGATTAGTGAGGGGAGGTGAACCAAGACCACTGGAGCTACCCACGCATCAGACGGCAGTGTCTGCAATCAGGGCAGCGACAGAAAGCTGGCTGGAGGTTGGAAGTAAAAGACAGGGCTTGGTGACAACTGGGGTATATGGCATGACTCCTGGGTTTCTTGATTGGCCAAAACCTTTCCAAATTAAGGCTTGTGTAGGCCTGATATATTTTTCCCCAAAGAAATATGTCTTTCAGTGACCCTGCCACTATTTATGGAGTGCCTACTATATATTGTTCTGGCTGCTAGGGACACAGGAATGAACAAGACGATGTCACAGAGCCCATGCCTGTTGGTGCCAGATAGTCTAATTAAGGGGAAAATTAATAAAGGCACAATGAAAACAGTATTTAAACACAGCAGGTCAGTTTTCCTTCTGGCAAGTCAGGGTTGCTGTTTTTTCTAACATCCCCTTATCCCTCCAGGAACCAGTGGGGTAGGTAGGAACTGGTGGGTGGAGGTCACAGGGAGGGTGAAGACTCCGGGGACACAAGGCTGACACGTCGTTACCTGGGCTCAGGTTTCCGGAGCCAAGATGAGGCCTCCCCTTCTCTTTCACTTTACGTTTTCCCCTCTCTTCTATTTTTTGCCTTGCTTTCCCCTCTCCCTCTTCTTTCTAAAGTAACCATAATCAAGAAGGAAGGAAAAGCAATATGCTGGAGAAGAGGGAGAGGGGAGGCTAATTTTCTAATTAGCCAGTTCAAAAAATAGGCCCACGGCTTCCCTCTCCCAACCAGGACAAAGGGCATTTCCAGATGAAGTCTAAGAAAGAAGTGTGCTGCTGCTTTTGTCTCCATCCTGAAGGACATGATCAGCTTCTCTCTTGGCCCAAAGGAGGCAGGGCAGTCAGGAAAACCGTATTTTGTACTGATGTGTTGTGGAGGTGAATAGTTTCCGGTGTGTGTTTTGGGAGGTCATGCCAGTGCCCTATGGGTGAACTTGGAACTCAGGGAAATCAGAGGCAGCCTGCAGTCACCCTGCTTAGCCTCTTTCATTTGAGCTTAGTTATGTGAGTAGGTTTGGCCCTTTGTCTCTATTACTTTATTTCTGTTCTCACGTTTGGGTGGTCTTTCATAGAAGCACACCAAGAGCTTTTAAAGGTCAATGTTCTTCTGTTTTCATTAATAACATGCTCAATTTTTGCAAGATTATTTTGCAAAACTTGATCCTAGAATGCTTCTGAGGATGTAATCATACTTCCTGACTTGCAAAAGCATTGTAGGAATAGGACTGCGTTTTCCCAAAACTATCATTTCTCAGTTCTGAGGAATATGACCTTTTCTTTACCAGGAGGGAGATGTGTGTGCCCTGGAGTCTGACATATTTCCAATGACCAAATGAAAAACACCTGCATCTGGACCCAGTATTCAATGACATTACTTATCAAAATAAATTTATTAAAAGTATGCAAAGACCACTTCAAAGTTTAGCTGCCTTCAGGACAGGTTTTGGCACTCATAATGACACTGTCTTCTCTACACAACAGCACTCATTCTGTGACACACCATTTAACAATTAAAACACAGACCATTTCAGTTTTAGCGTTACAACACGATAGGGTTGATGATCTGTAGTCATAACAACTTTGATATGCTTGCACATAGTAAACATTTTACTGTTACTTAGTACTAAAACAATCTAAAACTAGAACCACTGTGTGGTAACATGGACTGATTTCGGGAAAGATGTACAGCCAGCTAGCTAAGGCCACACCATCCCAGAGCTATTGACTTTAAAAATGCATTTGGACCAATAGTTATCCATCATCTCTTTCAGTCCCAAGTTGTTGCTTTTCCAGCGGGAGACACTCCACAGCCAGACCACTCCCTCCCTGCGTTCCGTACAGTCACTGAGGCCACTCGCAGCCCAGGCTGCTGCTAGATGTCCGCCAGCTTCCCAGTCACTACCCAGCTTTGAGTCAACAGCTCTGAGTGACATCTCCCGAACACCTAGGCTGAATTCAAGGTCAGTCTCCAGGGGTAGGCCACAGCCTTTCCCCTTAGGAACAAAATGAAAGGTCCTCCACCTCCGGGTGTCCGTTGTCAGCTCATGTAGCATGGGGCTCTGTGGTGATCTGCGGCCTTTTACACAAGTCCTGGTAGAATGCCGACTCCAGGAAGCGGGGGTAGGAGTTGTTCTCCATCAGGCTGTAGACCCTTTTCTGGGCGGTCGCAAAGCAGCCACTTGTAGCGTCTTGGATATTCTGGGCAATTAGGGTTTTGGTTTGAAAGTCTATGTTTATCTGTAATGAAACAAACAAAAAATGTGGTTTATTCCATATTCAGAGTTAGAGACTTAAATCTATTTATTTAATATTCGAAAACAAAACCCCAAAACTGTAATGTGTGATTAACTTTATCAGCCAAGTCATGGAAGAAACTTAAGTTAATTAAAAGCTAGTCTTAAAATAAAATCTTAAAAAAAAAAAATCCCTGGGTGGTATGGCTCAGTGGATTGAGCGTGGGGCCTGCGAACCAAAGGATGGAGGTTTGATTCCCAGTCAGGGCACATGCCTGGGTTGCAGGCCAGTTCCCAGCAGGGGATCCATGAGAGGCAACCATACATTGATATTTCTCTCCCTCTCTCCTTCCTTTCCTCTCTAAAGATAAATAAATAAAATCTTTAAAAAAAAAGCTAGTGTTAGAAAATATTCCTGCCCCTTCCCCATCACTCCTTTTTAATTTGACTTTTCTTTCATTCCCTAGTTTCACTTTGATGCTAAGAATGTTCAAAATATGCTAAAATGGGAATCTTTCCCCCTTACCTCTTTTGGAGCTTCTTTCTCTATGAAGTCAGTATATATTTTCTTTGCTTTTGAGGACAGCTTTTGGGGTGACTTGGTTTTTTTGAAATCTTCACAGGCCAGCCAGAATTCAATATTTTCTTCACAGAATTCAGACTTTAGAAAAGCCCTGAATGCAGCAAGACCATCTGAAAGGAAATCATTCAGACTGTGAATTCAGTGAACAAATAATCCCCTCTGTTTTTTCCTAGAACTCTCAATTCTTTGCACCTATATTTTATTATTTCTAGATTAGAGCAATATCCTACATTTCACTCAAATTTTTAACCCTCAAAATCTAGCTTTTTAAAAACTAAGTTGCCAGTATGCAAACTGCTTAAGTTGGCACACTGCTCCAAAGACATAAATACTTAACTCTGCTTTCAATGCAAATTATTTATAGGGGGCCCTAAATTCTCTGGGAGCTAAGCCTTGAAAACCCTGTATGCAGTGGAAAGGCTGCATCAATCTTAGCACAGAGCAACTGCCACTGTACCTTTTTCAGGTTAATTTTTCATTCCCACCTGGAACGAGTTAAGCCATATATTTCCATACTTAACTACTGGGAAATAAAGGAGAAAAATAGGCCTTATGTTACAGTGACTGTAAAGTCTAATTGCATCAGGCAGCCTGCCCTTCTGCTGTGTGGATACCTCTCTAGACCCTTGCGATACTTGAAAGGGATCCAATTCAAGAGGTTAACTTACATTTACTGGCTAGCAGCTCATCGAATGCTTCGGACCACAGCTGTGCTTCCTCAGGGGAAGGCCTGCAAGAGAAGTCCTGCATGTTGGCTTACGATCTTCAGAAGTCCACTTCCCCTTTCCAGCTCGGCAGCTAGCCCCTCATGTTTGCAAGAGCAAGATTTTCAGCTTACCTGATAAAGGTCTGCTGTTTGTTCTTCTTGCCAGTTTTGGGCTTTCCAGGAGAGGAGGAATGTTGCAAGAAGTAGCTCAAACGGGTCTTCCAATCTTTTAACCTAAAAAGAAAAGATAAATAAGTAAAAGATTCACTTAAGTGGCAGTTTCACTAAGTCAAATTGCTGCTGCAGCAGATGGCATTTTTACCCAGGTCACCCAGGAAATATGGACAAACCAAATAAAACAAGAACCCTTCAAGTCAGTCTTACTCATTTAATCCCTGCACTTAAGTGTTGAACCAGTTTGTTTTATTCATCTGAACCTACCTATGTGTTTTATATCTAAGGGAAAGACTACAGAAATTACTAGGATACTGCAAGGAATTTAGTTTGCATAGTTCAAAAGGCAGATGGCATTTCTCACTTGAAAAAGACAGCCGTTTTTCTGCAATGTTAATTACTATCCAGAGACATTCCACACTTGAACTGACAGTGGAACTGGCTTGAGCCAGTGATGCTTATGTCTGTCCCTTCTAGCCTCAGAGAAGAAGGTTCTGGACCAGCCAGAGCTGTATGCAAAGAAGGTGTGTGTGCCTCACCCACACACCCCCAGGCAACAAGGCTCATTTTAAGCAGATGAACTAAATTACAAAATTAAAAAAGAAAAAGACCCAAAATGAATTAAAACAAATATATCCAGAACCAGCAAAAATATCTCAATGCCTGCAGCTGTGAATGTAAGCTAATCAGGACTTAAAAAAGGCAACGTACGAATAAAGGGGACGCTCTGAGACGCAGGAAGACAGAAAGCCAACAGTACTCTACCACTGCCTCAGTATCAAGAATTTCCTCAGTTCCCAAACTCTTCCTGACGGTCCTTCGCTCACGCAACAGAACACAGACCACGTGGATTTAACTTATTAAGCCAATTAATCCTTTCTACATTATTTTTTCCTGCAGGAAATAGAGTTTCCCATGGTCAAAGCCCAGCCCAAGGCGCCCCGTTTGCAGCAAACCCGGAGAGCGAGTTTCCTCGCTGGTGGCAGGGGAGAGAAAAAGGCCGTACTTACAGGGTCCGCTTCATGTTCTCCCGCTTCTCCTCGCTCTTATGGCCGTTGCCTGCGTTCGTGTCCATGGATCCGCAGTCGTGCTGGACAGCCAGGAACATGGCACTTTGCATGATCGTCTCGCTGCCGAGGCTGACACTGTGTGTGGTGGGGAGCGCACAGCCCTATTTATAACAGGCGGAGGCGAGGGGGCGGGGCTCACGACTTTTGTCTCGCTTCTTGCGGACGCTGATTGGCCGGCGGAGGAGGGGCCAGGGGCGGGGTCGGCTCCTGTCCGCAGCGGTCACGGTTGCCCTGAAGGGTCTAGAAGCGAGGGCACTGCTGACGTCTGCGGACCCGGCGTCGTGCGCACTCCGGCGGAACGTAGCGGCTGGCCGGGGCTGGTGTGGGTGCCGACCGAGCTTTGGCCTCTGTGTGGCGGCCGGGCTGCATGGAGGGCTGTGACTGCGAAGTTGGCTGCCGCCGGGCGGGGGCGCAGGTCATCCCTTCCCCGCCTGCGATCTCGGACCCCCAGAACGAGTGCCAGTTCCCCGCAGGGAAACGCCACTCGCTGCCAACCATCGTGCAATCGCTTTCTTTCGAATGAAGATTGCCCCCTTCCTCAGGGAAACCCTCAGCTGTTTCTCCGCGACTCCATTTAATTAGGGGAGGGACGCAGTGAACAGGAGGCGCAGTGACAGTCCTAGGGCAGGTGGTGTGACCTCTGTAGGTTGAAGAATTTGCATTCACTTTGGGGAATGAACAGGGAAAAGTGACTTAATCAGACAATGTTCAACTGGATGTGCATTTTTGAACACCGAAGGGCACGTGACCGGGTCTGTCCCTGGAGGCTCAGGCTTATTCCTCAGCAGTCCTTGGCTGCCTCTCTTCCCAAAGCAGAAATCAAAGAAATCACAGACCTGATGACGGCCGAGAGAGAGGAAAACACCGAGACTTCATGCTGCAACGCACCAGAATTATTCTAGTTTAAGATTAGGGCAAGGATGCAGGAGTTCCTCATGAGTCATTCCTGGTTGACTTGGAATGTAGCAGAACGCCTAATAACTGGCAAAAGGGGAGGGGTGGGGCAGAGGAGGAATTAACAATTTCCTTAAGTTTAATAATGATAATTCTTCAAAGGTTGTCTGAGTTGTAGCAGCCTATAAATGGTTTGATTGGTAAGACCAAATAGCGTCAACTACAAAATGCTTTGATTTCAGGTAACGGGTATTAGAACTGATCGGTGGAATATTCAGGTAGTTTTTCCATCAAGCATCTAAACAGACAATAAGATTAACAGTTAGGTATTGCTAGGCTGCAAATATTCTCCCCACTTTGCATGAGAACTATATAAAAAAAAAGGGAACTAATTTAGCATATTCTTGTGGTGTGTTGCCAGTAGTTGCAACTCCAAGTTTGACTTGGAGGGTAAAATGTGCAATTATTCCTAAAGAGAAAAGCCATGCGATTTATTATGGAAAGGAAATTCATTTCGATTTCAATAACAAATATTTTAAAACGTCGCTTTGAAACGTAAGAACATCTTTTTTTGGTCAAGCACTTGCTCTTCATCTCTAAAAGAACATTGCTTAATACTTCCTACATCCACTTTCACTTTCTGGTGATTCAGTACCTAATTTATTAAATATGTGTAATATGCAGGCACTTGGCTTGTTCTTGCCAGTAAAAACCTCAATATATTTTACTTTCAGAACATTGGATGGTAGAACTTTCTCAGAGTGGAAAGGCCAGGAGTACTGACAAAGAGGCATGAGGGAGTGAGCTGGACTGGTGTTAGGGCTCTAATTAGAGTCTCAGCTTAAACACCAAGGGCTCAGAAATTCTGGGACAGTCCCACCATACCTCCTTGAGTCCCAGTTTCTCATCTCTATCAAGAGAAATGTGTCTTTCTTACCAGACTCATTGTATATGAGTCTCATATGAAAGGCCTAAGCAACTCCTAAAGTACTATGCAAAAACTTGTTACTGATTTGTAGGTGTGAAAAGGGAAATATCTCAAGTATAGATACTGAAGTAGAAAAATCATTAAAGGATTAACTCAGAGTTAATTAGGTTATAAATGTGTAAGAACTATTAAGGTAGCAAGAGAATTTTAAGTTATCAAGCTTATAGATAGCTACTTACCAGATACTTAATACATACTCCTGGAGAATAAGCAAATAAGGAAATTATTTGACATTTAAACTTTTTTGTTCCAATTATTTATGCATTCATTGGTTGATTCTTATATGTGCCCTAACTGGGGATCCATCCTGCAATCTTGACATATTGGGACGATGCTCTAACCAACTGAGCTACCCGGCCAGGGCCCCATTTAAACTTTTTAAACCTTCAGATTTTCAAGCTAGAAAAGATCAATCATCTCAGTGTATTCTCAAAAAATTGTCATTGTACTGTTTTGTATAGACAGGCAGACATATTTAAAGTGGAAGCTACAGTGTTTGATGAGTTCCCTTTGTTTAGTTTGTTTTGTCGTTGCCACTGGCTTTTAGGTGAATGGGATTGGTCAGTGCTGAAATAACACTTATTTTCCGTTCTGTGGAGAAGAAGGAAACAATGCAGGCAGTTGTAAATATTACACAACAAAACCACGGCTTGCTAGTGGCTGGATAAACTGACTCAGTTTTCTCCACGTTGAATCTGTCACGCCCTCTACTGGTTAGACTCTCTGAACATGTGAGTGGTGGAGGTTCTCAGGGTGGTTCTTGAACTTTGTGTCTTGAAAAAAAAATTTAAATTGCAGAAGGCTGCAAACAAAAAACTCAAGTTTCTAGTAATGCCAGAGGGGGAATATGAAAGGCAAACGTCTCCCCTACCATACTTCTCCATTTCCCTTATTAATAAAAAATTAGTACGGTTAGCTAAAAATATGTAACATAATAACTTTCATCCATGTGTTTTAGAGATTTAGGAAACAAGATGTATGCTTTAAAAACCCACAAAAAGATAATTCTGTGTATTACTCTGTGTTTTTCTTATTTTGGTCCATAAGATACTTTAGTTCCTAAGTTTGTGAAAGCTGCAAACCTGTTGCTTATCTCATGAAATCTGAACTTGGTAGTAAGTTTAAAATAAAACTAGGAAATTAAATGCCACATGGCAAAGGGTATGGTGACTAATTAGAAAAAATGAAAATTTACGTGTCATGATTTTTGACCATATTTGAGAGAGAATGATACTTGTTTTTCTGTTTTATCTCTTTTCCTCTCTTTCCTTTTTTTTGTTATTCCTTTCTTTTCTTCTTTGTCATCATCATTATCTTATTTAACTTTAGGTAGCGAAATAGTCTTTCAACAGAATGAACGTACACATGATTCAGTACTCCACTCTTCACCCCAAATATGACCTGAGATCTAAAAAAATCATAATTACTATCTTTCTTAGAATATGATTGGCATAACCAGAGCTGATAAGAAAGGTAGTGTCTTTGTCAGGAATGCCCCACTCTTTGGTGCTGCTCTAAGGTGGTGATGTCTCCTTTCAGGTGGGAGGGTTGGAGCGAATGCCTGCCCATTCGGGACCAGTTCAGTCCTGGAGCATCAGGACAGGCTCTGTCTCGGTTCTGTGGAGGACACGCCGGGTTGGAACAGGGGTGGGCTGGCGGCAGGCTCTCCTGTCTGTGGTCCTCACCCTGGGAGAACTGCACCAGGCACTCACTGGACCCTGGGTGCTGGGCCTTCACTGCCCAGGAGTCAGCCTCCTTTCTTGGGAGTCTGTGCACCCATCAGGTTCCTGGGAGTTCCCCCAGGATGCTTTTAAATGAGTCACTGGGAACATCAGGGATGTCAGTTTGTCTTTCCTCAAAAAATGTCTTGGAAATGCCCAGCCCTTTACATGTGAATCTTTTCATCAACTTTGGAAGACTGCTCTATCTCTACAGGGTAAGTTCTCCCTTCATTGGATATTTGGTGAAAATTTGTTTCTTTTTCTCAGTGCAGCTTGTACCTGTTTTTTTCTAATTGAATTTCCCCCCTTTCTAATTGTTGTGAAGGTTTCTCATTTGGAGTCTTACCATCTTCCAGTGCATGGATTATTTGCTCTTTTGGGTAATTGAGCATGCATTTGCCTTCATATTCCTCAAGAGTCATGCAGTGAACCCAAGGAGGGCGGGCAGAGCCGCCTGTCCCTGTTTACACCTCCTCAGCCATGTTTACATCAGCACTGTCAGCTGGTTTCTTCAAAACTCCTGTCTGCATCTTCTTAGAAGTCCCCATTTTCTGATGCATTTATAATATCCAAGTTCAAGGTTCTACTATGTTGTCTTCTTCATGCACAGCAGGCTGATCTCTCATCTTTAGCAACAATGTGACTTTCTTAACTACTTAGAACTTGTAAAGTACTCGAGAACCTCATTTCATTTCAACTGTTTTTCCTGATTTTTAAGTTTGCTCACTCTTCCTTCCATTCTTTAGCTTCCTGTGAAAGCAGTTGCAGACTTACCAAAAGTGGGGATTTTCACCTGAAGCATCTTTTTCACCTTGTGTCAACTTGCTCGTCACTTTTCTGGTGTATTTTGAAGAATGTTTTGCTTGTAGCTACTCGAAATTGGATGTGTCTTGATGTGTTTTCTGAAGACTGAGTATTTATTTTAATGTCAACTTGCTCTGTTTAGATTTCTCTTTTCTAAAAGTCTGTATTTGAAGTCCAAGCAAAGAATCAGAGATTTTCATCTTTTTATTAATGACCTCCAGTTTTTTTCCCCCATGATAGTTTGTTTTTGAGTCTGGCTTTCATTAAAATTGATTCAAGTCCTTAAAGTTCTTTTTGAGTGAAGTTAAACTTGTCAAAACTTTGGTCCCTTTACTCCAGAAGGGTAGAAACATTAGTGCTCTCTCTACTTGCATGAGGTAGGTTTTTGATTATTTAAAATCCGTGGCCATAAATAACACCATCTCCTACAGTGATCCATGGGCCTCTGAGTCTGTTTTGTGAACCCGACCGTTATTCTGGTCTCCAGATCTGATGAAACCATCACTCAAAATAAAACTAGCGAAAAAATTAATAATAAAGACATAGACACCTTAAATAAAATATTTCAAATAGGTTCCACCACTCACCAGTTTAAAGTAAAGCAGAAACACTGTGCATGGTGAAATATGGAAATTTTGGCACCTACAAGTGGTAAGAGGAGCTCTTCT